GGTATTCCCAGGTGCAAGACCTTACACTTGTTCAAGCTGAACTTCAGAAAGTTCCTGCTAGCCCACTCCTCCAGCCTGTCGAGGTCTTCCTGGAGGGTGGCAAAACTTATACATATGTTAGCACAGGTTGGTTAACTGCTGCATGTAGGTTTGTTAACTGTTACAATTAAAAAAAAAAGGGATTAGAAACGCCAAATCAATGGATGCATTTCACTACTTACACACCCATTACTTTTTCCGTTCCCTTAAAGACAAATTTCTTATATATTTCATTATCATCATTTCATATTCTCCTTAGCTTTGCACTCATTCTACTGTACGACAACCTATTCTTCATGGCTTACCTTAGCTTTGCCATCCTGTGCAGACATATATCCTACGCACATGCTCTCTGTTGTATGGCTCCACAGAAATTCCACTATAAAGGAAAATGCAAGAAGTCACAAAAAATGCATTGATTTAAAATATAAGATGTAATTTAACAAGACTGGAATCTTGAGAAACAAATATAGCTTAAAATATAGTTTGGGAAAGGACAAAAAGAACAAATTTAAAGAACAAAAACTACTTACCAGAATAATTCAATCTCAAAAGAAACAGCTATCAAACAAACACGATTTTCCTGCACTATTTGCAGTCATACACTGCAGAACTGATACCCGCAATGAGAAGGTTACGTCAATGATATGGAGCCTCCAAGATGAGAAATGCATCAACTGCAACTACAGTTAAAAGATAAGACCAACTTCTAAAGCAGAGGCCATAAAGTAGAAGCAGATATAATTCGCATTTGCTTGCCTTGAGCCCAGACATAAGCACACTACAATTGCATAAACCCAGATAGCATACAAGGATTCTGTAGAATTGTAATACTATCAACAGAATAACCAGTAACAAGTATTTTTTCACAGAACTGAGCATAAATATATATATAGTATGTAACTACCAGTGGGTAAACGGAGATTCGTGGTTTAACTGCACAAGGAGGATACAGGAAAACATGCAGAAGTAGTAAAGTCTGCAAGATACAGAGCAGGCAGGAAAGACATCTGGTGAAAACAAACTAATCCTGCAGAAAAAGCAGGAGAGGTGTCCAATGGAAAGAGAGTAACACTGCACAATGAGCAAGAAAGATGCCTGGCAAAATTAGAGCAGGACCTGGTCCCAAAAGTATGCTGAATTACATCAAGAGCATATCCAATCACCTCTTTTCTTTGGGGGGAGGGTTAAGGAGCTCCAAAGGTAAGAGAGGAAAGAAAGACGAAGTGAGCCCATTTTGATTTTGGCTTCCCTATCAAAGCACACTCATGTCTGACCACCCTGAGTTCTAGCAGTAGCTGTACAGTATCAGCTCTCTGGTACTGTATACTCATAGCTAATTTAGGACACAAATGTTAAAGACCAACTGTGGTGTTTGTAGTAATAACAATTAAGAAAACTAACCATTGCTAATGTGTATTGCTAATGCATGTTAAACCAGCCAGGTGTTGTTCTGAAGTCTGAGAGGGGCCCAATTTATCAATTGTTTAAACGGCCCATTACAGTGATCTACCTGGTTACATACACAGGTACCTTTATATACATACACACACACACTCTTACTCAGCTGCAACACAGATAAAGAGCACATTATTCATACATTTAGCTCCCATCCAGTGGAGCTTTATAAATTGCCACACTGTATTCTTCCTGCTATGTCACAGCCATTTTAATTTGTGTTCATTAGGTACATAATTTGGAAGGCAGAAAAAGAAAGAGAGAGTAGTGAACAGAATTCAGGGTGTTTCACAGAAGACTGTAAAAGGTTTAAAAAATTGCACCAAAGTATAATTTTTTCCTTTGGATTACAGGAGGAGTCTTACATGAATGCTACGATGCCACGAAAAGCTATTTCCAGATATTTCTTTAGGAAGAGACTTTCACATACTGCAAAAAGCATCATTAGATGGTTTTAAAACTCTTATTCATTCCTATTCCTCATGTTCCTTTAATATGGTTGATGAAGGTCACAGCATGCTGAGTATGCTTATCCTTTGAACCATTTATCCTTGCATAGCAATTAACCCGGAGGAGAAGATCAAAGTTTAGACAATCCTGGCAAGACGAAGATTCTGACGGATATGTAGATAACATCATGAAAGAAAAATTAACTTCATTTAGGTATGCGACTTGCTCCCCCATAACAGATTCATGACTAATATTGCCAAAGGTTAGTCAAAAGCTTTCAGAAAGTGAAACATATTCAGTGCAATGTAACTGCATTCGATGAGGCCAACCCCTCCCTAATACCCTAAAGGTTCAACTGTCAGTGAAAACATTTATTTTTGGAGACAAATTTAATCTTATCTTTCAATTTTGCGAAGCTGGGCAACAGTTCAGGCCAAATACCCTCAAAAAATTATTTCTTTGCCTTCGATAACTCTAGGCGTATTTTTCTAAGTTTTTAATAATTTTTTGCTTCTACGTTGTCCACCAAAGGTAGCATGTACTAGCATGAAACGTGGTTATCACTAGCTATCACAAGTAGTGGAATTACAGCAAAAATCCTAAATTACATACTTATCTGAAGACATTTCACGTATTTTCAACCATTTAATAAATCACGTTCTTGCAATTTGTTTCAATAATTAAAAAATAAATAAATTTTAAAAATCATGCCTGCAACAAAGACACAAGACTTCATTATTCTATACACCAAGTTCTTCAGCATTACACAACTTATTTTCAGTCCAAACACCACAAATACTACATATGTTTAATTATACATTAACTCAGCATACACTAGGCAGGAAATTTCTGTGGTACAGAAAAAATACCTTTAGAATAAGCTGTGCTACATGAATCTTATTTCAGTGGAAAGAAAACCAAAAATCAACAGACAAATAATGTTTATTTATGAAGTATGATATATAGGCATTTTCTTTATTAATTTTTAAGGAAAAAACATCAAATCTTCCTTAATAGGAACATGTTTTTTTACATGAATGACAAACATCAAATGAATAGAAATATTCCTCTCACTTCCAAACATAAGAAATTGAAGGTTACGTTCATCTTGTTCATTATTATTTAATCAAACTTGTATTCTCTTTTTCTTAACTCTTTTTAGGGACAGAATTTATGTTGTTGTATGCTTTTCCACTAGATCAATAATGTCACAATTATTCCACTCTTAAATCCGAAAACTGTAAAACAAACTTGAAACATTCTGTGTATGTTTAGCAACACATGCCCTGATTCTGGAGTCAGGATTAGACAGTCTTGGCTTTCAAATAGCTGAAAGACAAGAGTAAGATGATTGTCAAAGTCTATTTGATAGTCTACTTCTTCAAAAAGACAAGCTATTCAAAGTAATAACTCCAAAAAATTCCACCTTTTCCCATCCAAGCCTTCCAAAATTCCTTTGCTGTCCACCAGGATAATCCCAGAACCATCATGAGAATTGTCAGGCTTCACCTTCCAACTCTCTGGTTATTTGTAATAGCAAAATAAACACACACGAAACTCCTATGGACAAGATGAGATGTTGTCCGAAAGCATAAAACACACATAAACTTCAAATGTTGGGTAGAGAAACATGAATGGTATTAACTGTATTGAGCAAAATTACTTATTAGAGCGAGTGACTGGAGGGGAGAAACGACCAGACACAAGTCAAGCAACACAAAGTACTACATGGTATTTGAAGACTCCTGTAATAAGAAAACCAGCAAGGTATAAGACGAGAACAAAACGGAAAGATAACATACACCTCATTCTGTGCAACTGTAATAACTTGACCTTAGCATCCTGGAAGTCACTGAACAGACAGCAATAAATCTTGAAGTTCATGTGTGTTAACCCATCATTAAGAATATATCTGCCGGCTCACCTCTAGCACACGCTCTGCCTGCTACTCCAGGCTGGCTGTAAGCAGGCAAACTCTGTTGACACAATGCTAGGATTTAGTGGGACAAAAGCAGCAATGAATTAAAACAAAGGTGAGGTGTCCTTCTAAATAAGAGCCTACAGATTAAAAAGAAATTATGCAGCTCAAGAATTATCAGGTGAGATGCTATAACCTGCCTTAACACATAAAGTGAAATTAGGTGATTGAATTTGTCATGTCAGACCTTAAAAGATATGAAAGCTACTTCAAATCTACTGTAATGCTACTGACAGCAATTCATTAAACACTTGAGGAAACAATAATGAAGCAGAGGATTATACAAAGGAAAAAAAAAACCCTTCAATTCTGGAAGCATAGGATAAATATAAGTTGGACAGGTCCATGTGACCCAATACACAAGCACATAGCAATACCAGACACACATGCCCACATCTGAGGAGCACCGCAGGAAAGGAGATAGTACATGCGTCATGCTGAAGTAATTCATATGCCCCTGGTCCCAAACCCCTGCCTTCAAAGAGGAACATGGGCTTTACTGTCTCTGGGTTGTATTTCCACCCACCTCTGCTAGTAACCTACAGTGTTTAAGTTCCGAGCTCTTTCTCTACGACAAACCACATGACAGTTTACTACAATACACTTGTTCTGCTGTAAAGCAGTGATACAGATGAGGATCTTGTTTCTAGGACATAAACAAGGTCGAAGGGCTGTAAAGCTCAGAGCCTTTTTAACCAGTCAGCTACTGATGGAGACAAAGCACAGTCTTCTGCTGAGCTCAATATAAACAGCAAGTGCTCCTGTTGGCTGCATATGCAAATAGTAACTGTGACTTTTCTGAACAGATTATCCCGGGCATAACAAAAAATTTCTAAGTATAAAACAACTTCCCTCCTAAATTTTAAGTGTAACCTCCAAATTTTCCACATTTTATCCTGCAAAGAGGAGGAACAAAGAACTTTTTAGATAGCATTTTTAGCATATAAACCACTGAGAAACAGTAAACAGTCACACACATTACCCCTAGCTAAAAATGCAATTTTTTTTTCAATGAGGAACATACCCTGCCTCACCACAAGCAACCATTATTTCTATGCCATGGTTTTAGAAGGATCCCACACAACCGTCTGAATCACAATTCTGCTTAAAAATGAGGCAGAAAGAATGCTCTTTTCCACAGTTTTAGAGAACAAACAAGGCTAATACTATATTTCACTTTCTAGAGTTTTATCATCTCAAATCATTCCAATTCCTTTTTCTTTTCTCTGTGGCTTTTGAACAACAGTAAACACGCACAGAGAGTTTTTATTTCATCTTTCACTTTGAGTTAGCACCTAGCTCAAGCAAAAAGGAGTACGAATTTCTCACCTAGTAAAGTTGGCTTTTCCTGTGATGATTCAGGCTCTGCTGAACACCTGCAAGATCGAAGAACTATCACACCTCCGAGTACACCATCCTCATTGGCTAGAAAAGGTGAACCTGTGTAAAATCGTCGGGAAGAATTAGTTGCAATAGGGAATAGTTTCTTGGGTATTTTTTTATTTGACTTTTCTGCCTTCCCCCTTCAATCTTCTCACTAACGGTTGAGAAGACTGTCAGGTCAACCAGTGCTTTTCCAGAAGCATCACTTTTATTTTTTCTAGTGTTTCTAATGAGTAACTTTCTAAATAGTAATCTACTACCCTACCAGTAATGAAAAAAAGGAAAAAGAGCTACATGAAATAAAACAACATATTGGAAATTACATTTGTGAGTGCAAAACCATTTGTTCGTGGATCAAGGAAGATATAATAATGAAAAATGGAGTGTTAAGTTGAAAAAAAATAGTGTCTCAATATTTAGTTCTTTCTCTACTATAATTAACATAAAGATGGCTACATTATGAAAAAACAAGCAAATGTGGGTCACTTTTACAGTTTATTCATTTTTCTCAATTTAAAGCACTTTGTACAGAGACATCATCAAACTGCTACAGACTGTCTTCCTTGCTGTTTTATGAATATTAGCAGAAAAGCCAAAACACATCCTACTTTTTACAGTGGCTTTTCTGTTGTTAATTTAAGACATATGATATAAAATGTCTTCTATCAGAGGCTGGAAAAGTTTTAAAGTTAGCCGAATCAAGTCTAAGTATTCTTTTTCTGGTTTGTAATTTGAAATGAGATTCCTATCGTTTTAAATGTGGAAACAATGGTATGATTTACATATGATTTAAAATGTCTTAAGCCACATAATTAACTACATTCTTGCACTTAAGCCCAAAGAGACTCTAGTCACACATGTGCAATACACTGTGATTTAAAGTTGAACAGACAATTGCAACAGGCTTTTCATATATTTCTTTTCATGATTTTCTTTTACATAAATTATGTATGTTTGCATACTACGTCTAGCGTACAGACACTGGAAAAGGATTTGCTGGCCACAAGAACTTTAGAGCAGATCTACTCATCAGCCTCCTTCAACTTGCCCACAGCTATTTGTATGACTAAAATGACTCCTTTAACGCAAATAACAACAAACAAACAAAAAAAGCCAATAAGAACCAACTTCAAGCTTTACTATAAGGAAAACCAAATGCTTTACCATGTTTTCTTTCGACATAAGAGCAGCCATGTTCAAAAGTGATACAAGGTGGTCATTACAACAGAAGCCCATGTTGCAGGAAAATAATAAATGTGGTATGCTCAACAAACAGTAATGTTATTTGATCTAATACAAACAGATATTATCTTTAAAGCGCCACTTGCTTTGTACAAGAACTATTTACTAGGTATCAATTATATCCACTGTAATTCTCACTGACTGTGACTGAATCCCTGTGAATCAAGAATCCGGCCAATCATAACACAATGGATAATAAAACAGGAAAATATATTTGGTTAAAATAGAAATGCAAGGCTTGGGAAGTTGTAGAGAGTTTTACCACTCAAATCAAAATCTTTTACTACATGCTGTCCAAGATGCTCAGTATATCTCTTATACTTTCACTGCGTTAACCAAGTGCTGGCTAAGTATGTGGTACGATTTCTGCAAGCAAATGAACAAAAAAACCAAGTTGTTTTCTTCATGGAGGACATGCATCCTTTAATCTTTACTTCAGAAACTCAGGTACTTCAAAAACAACATCTTAACCTGAACTTGGTCTGCAGATCTAATCTTATACTCAGTCGCACAAATTATTCAGGCTATAAGCCATGCTGTGGTGAAAAGTCATTGTACACAGACAGAAAAAGTTTTCTTTTGTTTGTTAATAAGCACTGTTTCTCCTCTGCTTTCAAGGCCTATGAAAGGTGCTTTCAAGGTTCCAGTGAAAAGTACTAATAATCTCTTTAATCAGAATGATTAAAAATGTTCTACTTCAGCAGAACACAGCCAGCAAACAGTATTTAAAGCAGATAGCATATTTAAAGCCATACTAAAACACTAAGACTGTATGAATGCGCATAAAAACAGACAGCAACTTCTGATTATAGACTCGGTGCCAGTAAAATCTTGTTCTAGAAATGCTTACATTGGGTTAATCAATCATTTTTTCTCCCACACTCAGGAAAGAGTAGATGAAAGAAAAGTCTGTAAATAAACCAATCACATATTTCTTAATTTTGCCACTATTTTTGTCAACTATGTGCCATCATCACTGACCAAATTTTCAATAATCTGAATAACTTGCACATGCTAGGCTCTCTCTTTTTAAACTTTAAGAGAAGACTTGGCAGTATATTGTTTTCCATGTAAAGAGTGTGCCGCAAAACATGTAACACTACATTAACATCAGAATTGTCTCATTTATACAGGGATTTCTTTGCAAGAACAAAACATTCATCTTCTTCAGTGGATTACAGAATGAGAAAAGTAATTGCTATGTGTTTTCTAAAACTTTTTTAAAAAGGAGTTTAGAAAAATAATTTAAAACTTAAGCTTCAAGCACATAAGACAAACTCTTGAGCTTACAATTTCACCCAGAGACACTCTACCTATGCGTGCACAACTATGCTTATGAGAATCCCGTTCTGCCAGTGTAAATAGCATTTATTTATTGACTTTAAACATGCTGTCCATCGTATTGCCCTAAATATGTACACAACTGTTTTCTGAATCAAGTTACTTCCTTCAATGATTATGCACCATGAAAGCTTTATTACCAGCCCACAAAATTCAAAGGCTTTTGAGTCCATGCTAAATGCTCAAAAGCTAGAAAACTGACTGTGTATTAATTCAGCTTTTGCTGAAATACATTGCCACTCTACTGCTATTTCACTAGAAAACTCAAGGGGAGGATTAATTTAATACCACTGTGCATGATAAAAACATGATAAAGTACAGCTTTAACTTCAGCACTTATTAAACAGACCAGATAAGCAAGAAGCTGACTTCTTTAAGAATAACACAAGCTAGGCCCTTGGAGTAAGGACAAATGTTGGTTACGTCAAACAAGACCAGGTCTTACTGCACTAACTTTGCAAGAATTGACCATGACAGTAGTACTGGGGTGATACAGAGGTGAGTAAAATCACTTAGAGTGACTTGTAGTGGGTAATGTGAATGGAGTATAAAATGAGGATATGTCTTAAAAGTTTGTGTTATGCAAACAAAGCCAAGAAGACCGGATGCGTCTCTCTCCTACAGACAGAAACACAGTGTTACTTGCCCAGTGGTGCACAACATCAAAACACAGAACCTACAGGTTACCCCGATCTGTAGCATCCTGACCAATATACTACAACACCACAATGAAAACGATGGAATCAAGTTGGCTTTCATAGCAATAGAGATTGAACCAAAATACAGTTGCAACTCCAGAAACTACTGAGATTTAGTATTGTCAGCTGAGCTACTGTTATTTTTTTATTTTTTTTAAATAACAATGCAGAGCCAACTTTTAATCTTCTATGCCATTTTATCATTGGCTGCAGAATGAACGTTATTCTGGAAAGGTGAAAAAGTCTGAAGCAAGAACATATCCCTTTTTCTCACACAAGCAGCAAATGAAGACATGAACACGCAGTCACTCGCAAAACCTCTGCAATGGTTCTCTGTCTTCTTACCATGGCACTTTCATGGGCCATGTGTTTCCCCACTTCTGCTCAATGTTGGCATCCACAGAGTCATCAGGAACAAATTGTGTGACTAGACCCTTGTCCATTCCAACTGCTTTCACCAGCAATTTCAGCTGAACAGTCTCAGTGCAATACAGTATGTGCCTCCAATTCACTGCACTGGCTAGAGTTGTGGGGAATTAACCTCTAAATAGTGGCAGTAAAAACCACTTGCTTGCAGTAATAATATTACAGTATTCTATGTTACAGTAAGTTCAGACAGTTTCTCCTCTCTTAAAAATCAGACTCTAAGCCAAATTAAATACACAGTGAACAGCACATTCTTTAAAACAAGAGAATGTATTTTATTTTCAAATTAAAGCAATTTTAAAGAACAGTTAAAAGAGGGATTCAAATATATTAATAATTTTTTAAACAAAGATATTTCTGGATATGCAGACTTATTACTGAGGATTACAATTATGCTAGAGAGTGTATTTTAACACAGCAATACAGTGCAACTAAGTATGTCTGTGTTAAGCAAGATTCTAGACAGCTGAACACTATGCATCCATCACTAAATCTGTAAAAATAATGAGACAAAAGTAGTATTATACTCTATTTCTAAACAGAATCCAGGCACTGTACACAGGGATTCATTTGAGTGTTCTCAAAGGTTAGCAACATATTTCATTAATTTAGTTCTAAAAATCATTTTGTTACAGCCAAGCCATTGAGAAAAAGAAATAATAGTGCAGACTTCTGTAAAAACAACAATATAGGTAATGGAATTTTTTCATATACATTATATTTAATTAGTATTAAAACAGGAAGAGAAAAGGTGCAACTGAAACACTGCCACATATATTAAAGTCATAACAGTTTCTCATTAGAAGGAAAAAGTAATCTGGCTCCCACACTCCTACACCATTTTTCCTCTCTCTGTACTCTTAAGAATGATAGAACTTGCTATACAATTAAAAATTTAGTTAAAATAAAACAAAATATGCCTACTAGCCAAAACCAATTTTTTATACTGCAATAGAATAGGATTGCTAGACAAATCTTTGATCTAATAGCTTACTACCGACAAAACTACAAAAACCTGGGCTTTTAATACCATTTTAAGTCTCATGAAACTCATTGTTCTTTCCTAGCTACAGCGGCATACCACTGAAGAATTTGGCATGAAAAATCCAAAGCAAAACTTCGACTACAGCATTAACTAATAATGTTTGCACTGACTGGCCACACCAGAGAGAAAGGGTAGGAAAAAACCAAACAAAATCCATCTTTCAATAGTTTTGGTTTAATCCTCACCTCCCCCAGTCACAAAATGATATTTTACAAAACACATTTCCCTCCTTCAAAGCTCAACTGATCTGTTATCGCCACCTGACATACAGAAAGCATTATCAAGTTTTTATTTATATATTTCGAGCATTATTAATCTGCAGTAATGGTCTCTTAAAAATAAGCAAACAGGTCTTCATAGCAACTCCACATTCACTGATCCCATCAAGTTCTGCAAGAGCAACCATAACTGAAGACCCAAGTTCAGCCTCAGGCTGGGAATAGAGCATACAGATTTCACAAGTGCTAAGGCAAATAATGATCACAACATCCAGCCTTGCTCTACAGCTACAAGTGAAGAACTTTTTTTCTTCTATATCTCTTGTAAATTAAACTGCTCCCATGACAAAGATTGCTTCCCCCAGAGCACGTAATCAATATGAGTTTTTAATTTCTGATCCTGTGTTTTATTCTCATTTGTAGCTACTGGACAGATCCATTCTAGCACAGATTCAATAGTACACTGTAAAAGAAGTGCTTTATTTACACTTACCCAGCTGAAGGACTATCCAGCTGTTCATCAGATGTTTTACATTCATATGCTTCCATAGCAGAGAAACCATTACCAGCTTCATTGTTTACATTCGCTTTCAAACTCTTCAGAACTTTGGTCCAAACACTGACTGTGGCATGGTGTAACCAATTCAGCGCTTTAGCACACCCAGTTTTAACGGCGTGCAGCTAAACAGTTCTAAACCTTCTTGTGCTGCAATGTGAGTGAAATTCAGGCATTTTCAGGTCAATAATCTACAGATCACCTACGCCACTGGACTTTGTCAGCTTATGTACAGAATGTGTTTAAAGTGAAGCTGCTTGCCACTCTGCTTCTGCTATGTAACCCGCTAAACTTCAAGCTAACAATTTAAATGAACATTAGAGGAATATGTAAGCACTAAATGAAGCCTGCTTTTAATTTCATTCACCATTATATGTTAAATGTTTAAATGCAAGCTGTCTGAAACCAGAGATCTTTACATTTCATGATAAGTTAAAACATCTGTTTAGAATTTTTAAAGAAGCTGCAAGGAAAAGCACCTGTACTTTCCAACTTTACAGATCAGACCGTAAGAAATTAAATAACTGAGGATACCATTGTCCAATAAAACCCCAATGTTTTCAACAAGAAGCAGGACCTACACAAACCTTTGTGTAACATCACTACGTTGTGTTAGTTTTTTAGCTGGTTTGACCATACAGATAACGAAGAGTATTACCTCATTCTGTCTACCATCAAATACAAACTTGTGAAATCATAAACTTGCAGTGGATAAAATAGGTTATATGAAACTTCAGGATCACTTCATCCTCTTCTCAAATCTTTTCCTGTGTCATAGAGAAGACATAATAATGCTTCCATAGCAGGCTTCCTGCACTATAAAACCACAAAGGATACTACAAAGCTTAGAGTGATGCAGCACCGAAATATAAAGTAACAATAACACTGTGCAATGACGGTCATTGGCAGTCTTGTAACTGTTAAAGTATGAGGCTTTCCCCCCCCCCCAACAAGTATTACTCATAATCAGCAAATTCATATTCTATGATTCCTAACCATCCAAACTCCTGCCTCCAAGAGAGGTATTTGACACAAAATTTCTAAGAGAGAAAGCATCAGCGTTATCCTATGTCTTTCAACTCATCACTTTCTAATACTTTATAAGAAGCTTTAAAGCACAATTCGTAACACTGCCATTGTTAAAAGCCCAGATTTCCCGCCAGTGAGATGACACAAACATTTACTCTAAGTCTACATTCCACAAGCTTGGCCACATTTGAAAGGAATGATGAGTAACAAAATCCTCTGTTCTTCTGTTTGGAAGGTATTTGTGTTTATAGAACACCATTATTCGACTGCATACCAAGCCTTTAGTGCTCTTCAACTAAAGATATCAAGCCCATTTGATTTACAAAAAAATCTAAATTTAATTTCTTTCACCCCCAAGTCAACCATCAATCGTGCATTATCCATAGTAAGCTGGCTCTGAGAAAGGATGAGAGAAGCACATCTGCCATTAGTTTGCTCATCACCTGCTGTTTAAACAGCACTCACTGTTTAAAGCCAGGCATTCCCTAGCTGGAAGGATTCCCAGGGCTCTGCGGAGACTGGGAGAGTTCTGTAAACAGGAAGCACCAATCTGATGGCAACTGCCAAAATCAGCTGTTCACCCCTCCATACAAGTAACATACATTTTGACTTCTGACAAAACATTCTAGCTCTGCTTGTTAAAGTGTGTGTGCGGGGGGGTTGGCCTTGGTCCATTCTAATTCTGGTGAAAGTTTGACAAGACCACAAAATCAGGCTTTAAGAAAGAATCCATGCCATCAGCAAGTAGGCTATTAGCCCATTTTATCCTATTGTTTCAGAACAGTAAAAAATCCTGCATCATACCATACATCCTGAGATACCAACTAGCACATTGTCTACGAAAATTCACAGAGAAAAAATTATTTAGTATTAGCCTATTGTTTAAAGGTAATGCATGTTTTCAACTGTTGCACTGTATTAGCAAGACAAATCTACATTCCATCTTCAGAATTGCCAAAATCCCCCAAAGTTACACTAGTGGCTACAAACTTAGTACTATGTCACATGTAAACAGCAAGATGTATCTGAATTTTGAGGTTTTTCTCATCAGTCTTCATTCACAGGACAGCTGAGGGTAAACTAGATTTTATGCTTTCTAATCAAAACACAGAATCCAAGCACTTCACCTACACACAAAAAAAGGTGGCTGTATATTTTTTTTTTCTCCCATGCCAGCACTGCCCCAAAGTACAACAGAGAAGATAATACACATACCTGCTGTCAGGCAACAAAAACTTGCAGTGATAAGTTTCTGAAAATACATGACAAACCTATCCCTGATTAAAACATGACACTTTAAAAAGGAATTATAAAACATTTTTTTTTCCAAATTTTCCTATCATGAAAAGCATTAATTTGGTACTGTCTCTTGTTCTTTTCACTTTCCCTTGTTTTGTTGGTTTTAGTCTGTTTTCCCAAGGCAACAGGACTTCACACTGTTAGCTTGGTATCTCTGTCTGTGCAGCTCCTCTTTCTCTGCAACTGACAGTTTCAGGTGTAACAAAAACTTTAGCAATATTCAGTATGTTCTTAAGTCCAATACAAACATTTTCACATTTTCAGTAAATGCATCTCTTACATACTAGCCCATTAACATTTAAAATAAAATAAAATGAAAACATCTGCTATGTAAACTTGTAGCAAAATACATTTGGACTAAACAGCAAGAGAAGAATTGCATTTTTGCAAAAAGAAAGCCCAGAAAACTCAAAGGAAGTACCTCAACTAAAAAGTTCCAGGATTTTTTGGTCTTTATCAGCCCTTTCTATGAATTACTTTGGCAGCAGCTTTCTATTTTCTATGTGTATACGCACTAAGATGAAATTGCATAAGAATATGTACAATTTGTGCTTGCTGTTAGTACTCCTACTACAAACAGCACAATAAATACTGGAGTATGGACTAAAGATCTGACTTTCTTGAAGTTAGGCCGCTTCCATCCAGCACCTTCAGAGCTGCGTTACAAATTAGCGAAGCTATCACAAGCATCCTTCCTTGGGTAAATAAATGCCTAATTTTGTGCCACTGTACACTGGAATAAGTCAGTAATACAAAAAGATACATTTGTGCTGCTTGGATTACAACCCCTTTGGGAAACATACTGGGATTATTTTGTTCTGCATTCTTAACAGCGCCTAGAGATGACTGCAATACAGCAGTAGATTATCAAGTGCAGCCTTCCAATGCGAAGGTGACTTCCCCTCAAATGCAATGTCAAGGTAATGTTGTCAGAAGCAGAGATTACTATGGATTCAATATTATAAACATAAATACAGAAAGTGCAATGCCAAGGGTAACGGTTCCTGGGGCCCGAAAAGGTATCCATATGCCCCTCTTGCAGTTCTAATTAAAATACCATAAAAATTAACTTTGGCAATACAGGGTACAAGAAGTGTTACGTTGTCCACAAGAAATTTTGAAGGTCAAAATTGTCTGTGGATTCTAAAGCTTCAAAAATTTTAAGGGCTAAAAAGACAGTGCAAGCCAACATATATGCCAGAAGCCTCACTGGAATCTGTGCCATCTTCAGAAGTTCAAGCTTATATATGTATTTTAAAATTCCACATTCTTATTTTGGTCATGACTTGAAGAAAGCAAACAACATCTATATTCACAAGAAATTAAACATAAGTAGTCATGTGCAACCCTCTCAAATCAAGGAAAAAAATGGGTTTAGCTTACAATAGTCTTGAATGAAGTCTACTTCACTTTTTCAAGAAATTAATTTCATCATGTAAATAGAAAACCAGAATCTGTCTGTCCAAAGCATCTAATCAGAACATGCAGTGGTTTTGAGGTCTATTATATTTAAAAGGGTTAACGGGATGAGTAATTTTTATTACTGCTCCTAAACCAACAACTCTAAAATATTCAATTGCACACCACAGCCAGTGATTCAGGGAGGAAATTCTTTCTTCAAACCTCTCTGGGTATTCTATGACTCACATAACAATTGAGGTATTTCCAAGGATTTTCCTTTAGAGTTTACAAAATATTCTTCTGTAGTTTGACTTAACATTTTTTAGATGTAACAGAACACTAAATTTGAAGCCAACTGCAACATGAGGCTTCCATAGAAATCACAAAAAAAAGTATCTTAATTTTATTTAATAGGGTTAATTGCATTTTAAACAATGTTATGCAATGTTTAGGCAATTAGCACCATATACTTACCTATAAACTTGTTTTGCATAGTCTCTAGGAGAGCTTGGTGGGCATCTTCCGTTTGCAAAGCACATGAACATTCTCTGGCCAGTATGGTTCGGACAAGGTGCTCTCCACAACCTAAAGGAATATCAAGATTTGGAATAGTCAAAATATAGATATTACCATGAAGAAACTCTGTCATTGTTTTATACCATCACAGCCAAATTAAGGAAAAAAAATAAATATATAGATATGCATATGACAGGTTTCTGCCGTATTTCTTCTATTTTTTAAAGAGAGTGACACAAAAATTCCAAGTTAGCAGTTTTTCTCACACTTTCCTGAAATTTGCACTGCACAAAGTCATAAACCAAAAAAGGTTAGATAAAGGAAGAAAAAATAGAAATAGTGAGAAGAAACAGCATGACTGTCTCTAGCTTGTCATCTTTACCCAAATCCTGAAATTCTCTCTTAAAGAATGCACTTACTAATCATTCTCACAGGAGTGATCCCAGGATGCACCTCTCTTCAAACCAAGAACATCTTTACCCAATGCCACAGTAACTCTTTTGTGTGATGTAATCTTCTATTCATTCCATCTGATTTAGCCTTTTGTCAATGAAGGAATGTAAGTGAATTTACCTATGCTTTTTGGACAGGGTCACTGCTTATTGGACTCATAATAAGAATTCCTGTAATTTTTAAAGATTTGTCTTTAAGAAACTAAAAAGCTCCAGCAAACAACCACTTATTGCTTCAGTGCTTTCTGTAACTAACCCCTGAAACGTGTTGATGACAAAGACAAACAGGTCATTAGTGCTACTCTTACTCTGTAGGAATGCTTTCACACCTGCCGGTTTTCTCCCACGCTCTTTTCCATTCCTGTACTGTGCTTTGGGACATACAGGTGTGGCCAAAAGGTACACTGCGTGTTTATTGGATCAGCGTTTTCTTGGACAGGGAAACACACTGGTGATACCTTCTGCATATAACATAAGGCATTATACTACTATGCCTCCCATTGACATTTTTCCTCAACGGCAAGGAAGCAGACGAAGCAGCTAGAAGAGGACTAACCAAGCACCCAGAAAGCTGAAATGTGTTATCCAGTTAGGAAAAAAGGAAAAACACAACTAATTTACAGCTGTAATATGACAAAGATTTCAACTTATCCAAATGTGGGTGATTACAGTTGGATCATCAGACTTGCAAATTCAGAACATAGCAGGACCTAAAACTGCATTAACACCAGAATATATAGAGAGAAGTCAAATATAGTCAAGTCCCAATTATCTATTTCTAGTAAATTTCTCATTAACCATGACAAGATGCAAGCACTGTGCTGCCTCCATAAAAAAGCTGCTATAATCCAGTTTGACTTATTAGCTCAGGTGCAGAACTACATAAATACACCTACCCAGCTTCCAGAGACAATTTAAGGCTGGAAACAATCTAGCTGCTTTCACATGGCAGAGAGCTGGAGCTGGTAAGACATCAGACCTAAGCTGGCTTCAGGCAAAGGCAGCTCAGTCTCCACGGATAACACTCACTTTACTGGAAGCACTAACAAGCACAGAACAGAGAAAACTGAGCGACTCTGGCTGAAGCCAGCCTAGATCTGGCACAAAGAAAGAGCTAATAAACAAACTCAACCCAAACTGGCTCCAGTGCAGCCTGCTGAGCATCTCATCCTTGTGCTTCCCAATATGCTGAGTTTGGAGCATTGACTGGTTCGGGCACAACATTGGGCAGGTCTAGCGCTGTGTCTTGGAGCTACTCGCAGACTGGCTTCTTGTTCTTGCCATCAATTTTAAGGTCTAATTAACGTGGCAGCCTATTCCAAAAATGTCTGTTTCTGGTTACTTGTTACACAATTACACCTCTTCCCTTATAGGTAAAGTGAGTTTAAAAACACTATTCTTCAAAGGCTAACACAGCAGAAGAAAAAAGACTCCTTACTCCTCATTGCTAAGATTAATAAAACAACAAAAAACTCCTATGGAGCATTATATATGCATCAGATGTCAGGGAACAAGCCCAGGGACCAGATTGCAGAAAAATTATGTACACATCCTAAAATCTCGGTATCTTTGATCATCAAAATTACACCTTCGTCTTCAGTTATGTACTCCTAATCACAGGCAGCGTCTCTTGATTAATAGAATTCAGTTAAACTGAACTGTTGGAAGCGGGGCACTTCAGCATTGCATCTACATATAATTGGCAGAACAAAGACGAGAAATTCTTTGTATAGCAAACAGATTGAGTAAAAACCAGTTATAAATCTGAGGAAAGTAAAAGAGCTGAAATACTACAACAATTACACAACAAAGGGAGGCAGTTCTTGAGAGCACAAGAAAAAATCGTTTTCATTGAGACTGTCAAGCTCTCGAGTTATTGAGAAAAGTGTCCTAGTGAGGATATTATCTTCAAGAGACTCACACAATACAGTGTCCTTAACAGCTGCTAACAGGAGGATCTGTCCGTTCCTTTGCCTCATTACTTCCATGCTCAAAAGCTTTTGTCCACAATAGAATGGAGAGTTATCTAATATTTATTCAAGATAAACCAATGTATAAAGAATATGCAAAAACTGCAAGATGCATTTTAACCATAGACCACAACGTGGCTATCACTTTTTTGTAAACTAAGAAAATGTAACCATAGTGAAATTTTGCTGTAAAGAAAAGAAACCAAAATAAGCATATGCTCCAGCAAAAATCTAGTAAGTTGATTTTTTCTTGAAAAGAACCTGTTAATACCTTTAAATCTAAGATTTATACCCTATGTGAGGTAAGAAGCATGGGACTTAGCATGTGAATGAAGCAAATGAGACACAAAAATCAGAGTGAGCTTATGCATCTCCTATGCATCCAGTAATAAAACCAGATGTTACTGCTTCACAATTTTTAAGTAATTCCTAAATTGGCATCAAAAAGACAATAGCCATTTTTTAGCATGATGTATAATGTTATTTTCCCCTAAGAGAATGATTTTATTGAAAAGTTCCCATAACATCAAGTCTGCTACAAAAAACAATAAAATTAAGAGAGCGAAAACTTAATATGGTTTAAGAACAGCTGCAGCCCACTGATGTGATCCAGGATCAACCACAAGGAAAGCAGCCTTGCGATTCTACTAACATATCACACATCTCTACATCCCCACAGAAAAGTCTTTTTTTTGGTCATATTTTTGTCAACCTGTAAGGCAGCAAACTTACAGACTGCTGCTGGCAATATATGTAAAAATCTTTCAACACATCACATGCCAGCAATCTGCAGGGACAGATAACTAAGAAAAATAATCCCCCCATTTTGAAAAGAAAAATTTGTTACTGCAGTTTTTGATGTAGAAACATCTATTTTTGAAGAAGAAAAATAACTAAGCAGTGTTTCACATACTTTGACCAGATAAAGGCTGAGAAAAAGAATTTATATCACTATTCCAATAGAATTGCCCTTCCTATCATCTCAAGTTAGAACCAAATACTGGAGTGTGAACTGTCTTGCTGGTTTAGCAGACCTATATGTCTCTATACTCTCATACCAGAACACTGTTGATAATACTAGGGCTAGGCACAAAATAAACGTATACAGAATTACAGTAATCAAAACCTAATTTAAAACTTCATATTTAAGTTGTGGGTTCAAATTTATAGTTTCATTCACTTGCAATCTAACCACCAGCATTAGCCAACTTCCAACAAAGTTTTATTAACATGACTCAAGACAGCAACTACAGTCAAAACTAACACATTCCCAAATCATGCACATAAGCTGGTGAAAATGCAAATCTGGCTCATTTGCTTAACTCTTTCACATTATACTACATTTAACTGTATGAGTTGTTATACTTTGCAGTTTGTCACTGAATAATACTGAAACCAAACCAACAGGGACTCTCCTAATAAGAATTCTTCAATTCTACATTAAAGTCTGAAATGCATTTATTTTAGTAACTTTCCTGTAAACAGAGTTTAAATGATTTTATTATCCTTTCCCAGTTAAGATGACGACTTCTTCGGCAACCTGAAGCTCATTATACCTCAGAGACAAACACTTTGCAATGACAGACTAAAGCTTCCATAAGCCTTCACACAAGAGTGACTCAAATGGAGATGACTATCTGGAAAAATTTACTGAGTTAATTAGTGCTTCTGACTGAAGTAACTGTTTCATATAGTAAACAAATTATTTTCCTAACACAGTAATATTGTGCAAACACCTCGTTGCCTACTCATAACTCCTCTGCTGACAAAAATGCTGCTGTTGGAACTACTGTTGTCCATGTTTGCAGGGGTAGGTACAATTAGTTGCCCTCCTCTAGGACTACTACTGGCAAAGCAAGCAATGGTTCTACAGGAAATGTATAGTCTATTTTGACAAATAAACACATGCATACATACATGTAAAGACAGATATTTTGATGCAAGTTTCTAGCCTCCTAGGTTAAGGGGAAAGAAGTTTAAAAAAATAGATTCCTAAAGGCTCCAGAGGTATATGGCCACGAAAGGCTGCTATGACAATGGAAGCAAAGAAGGATCAGGCTTGACAGTCATAACACACTTATTTTGCACTCAAATCAACATGCTCTGCACCAGAATCTAAAAACACACACACACACACACAAACCCACAAAAAACCCCAAAAGAAAAACCACAACAAAAACCCGCATAAATATCCAAAACTCACAACACCACTCCGTCCTGAAAACCTGTCTTCAACAAGAATCTTCTAACCCTTCCTGAAAACCATTTGGAGGTCATATAGAAAACCCCTGATCATACAGAAAGCATCAGAACTGACTTTCAGAGACACATACCCTTCTCGGATCATGCCACAGTACAGCTTCTAACTCAGTGTTTCTTTCAAAGTGCAAAGCTGACCAACAGTGAAACACAACTTCATTCTTCTGTGGGTATTTAAATGTGCAATTTCTGAGGCTAATACCACTTTTCCTATTCAGACACCCCTCACTGATTCCTACAAGATCACCACAAGAACAATCTGGGACTCTGCATCCTCTTTTATTTTTTCCCCATAGTCTCTTCTCCTGTTATCCTATTATAACATAACAGTTAAGTATGTACCAGTAGTCCTCTCAAGTTACTGTTTCAGCCAAAAACAGCGCAGAAA